GGGGGGTGGGAGGGGGGAGAAGGGAGAATGAGGGAGAAAAGTGTGCAGGCAGAGCTCTGAACCAGCAAAAGAAACACTGATATCTATGTCAAAAGCATACAAGGCAGGGCGGATAAGGGCTACCAGGAGCACACAGCAATACCATGTGAAGATAAAGGAGCTTAGACAAGTGTACCACAGGACAAGGCTAGTTCTGAGCCACAGACATGGGAGGCTGGCAGTATACACCCACAATGATCTGGGATCCTAGGCCAGAATTCCTAACTTCTGCAAGGACTGTGGGATAGTTACCCACAATGCATTACTCCTTACATCTACAATGCAGGCTTCTTATGTAAGAACTGTTTTGCGCAAGAGTTCTTGTGCAAAAGGTCTTGCGCAAGAGCTTGTCCACACTGACATGTGCTTTTGTGCAAGAACTGTGCTTTTGCACAAGAGCGTCCATGGCGGTGTGGACACTATTGCACAAGAAAGTTCTGATGGCCATTTTAGCCATAGGGGTTTCTTGCGCAAGAAACCCTTGTTGCCCGTCCACACTGCCTTCTTGAGCAAGAGCTCTTGCGCAACAGGGCTTATTCCTCATTGGAAAAGGAATAACTCTTGCACAAGAAGCCCTCTTTTCTGACGCTTTACTGTAAATTTACTTGCGTAAGAACATGTGCGCAGTGTAGATGCTCCGCAGGTTTTTGCGCAAGAACGGCCATTCTTGTGCAAAAAGCCTGCAGTGTGTAGACACAGCCCTTGAGTGGATGCAACCCCTGGCAGTGAGGATGTGTTCCATTGACCACTGCCACCTAGTAAGGATACAGGGCTGGCTCCAGGCACCAGCAAAACAAGCAGGGTGGCACAGGGCTTGGGGCAGCACATTGCCAGGGGTGGCATTCCAGCCCGCAGGAGGAGCAGGGTGGCAGGGAGCCCCACGGAGGCTGCCCTGAGCTGGGAGCTCTGCGCCCGGCTGCTCAGAGCCTCTGCCTAGCCCTGGGGCTCTGGGAGGGGAGGGCGGGGTGCCTGGCCATGGTGCAGGGCGGCTGCCGCTGGTGACCCTGACTCACGGGGCCAGG